GTTAAAATACCACGCAAAAATACACCGGAAATGGTAATAGTGATGACGAACATATCAGTTTTTTCGACCCTTCACAGCTGAAGCCTCTCAGCTGTTGTTTAGTGCGGTCGGCTGTGATCGAAGGTCATCTTACTGACAGTTTTCAAATTCCTTTTTTTTTCGTTCCTCTTCTTTCTTTCCACAGAAAAGTCCATAGATTATTATTTTTGTGCAGGTTCTGTTGGTGCTTGTGAATGTGGAACCGCGGCATATTCTTCGTGAATTAAATTTGTTTTGCTACCGTACTGGTTGGACTCTCGTGCTGTGCTATTCCGCCGAGGAAGCTGCAGAGTATCTTGAAAATTTGCACATATCAAGGTATAAAAATGAGCAGTGCGCGGTAAATGCGATACAGGAGCGAAAAAGGAAGCGATTGGGATTGGCTGAGAATTATGACGAATTTAATCAGGTTATAATTTGATCATGTTTGTAACTTGTGGCTTCTTTCAATTATGGTAAAAATTGTATTGAATTCAAAGAATATTACAGCAAAAATCGCTGTAAATACCAAAAAACTCGGTGTACACACCAGGCATTGGCATTGAAGTCATGTCTCGCTCTTAAGGGCTGCAACAGCTGCACATCCCAAATAGCTATGGCTGATTTTAGTTTATCTTTTATACGGGTACATCGAACCTCTTTCTGGTGTTTCTTTGTGTCTGATAAATTATCCTATCCGATTTCGGATGAGTGTTTTTTGGATAACCTTTGTTGAAAGCGGTATATCAAAGTACGCTCAATTACAACCCCGATCTATGTTGAGCGTTATGCTTGCCTTATGAAGAGGCGCCGAGTGTAGGGCTTATTGCTATTTTACGCACTCATTTCAGGCTGTTTCATTTCTCACAGCGATCCGATCCGTGACAACAACAGATGCGCAACGCCTGCTGGCTACATTTGGTAGTGTTCGAAAGATAGCAAATGCAGACATTGATCGCCTGCTACTTTGCCCCGGTCTGGGACCGACAAAAGCCGGCAAAATTCATGCCTTTTTCCGGGCATCCTTTCGAAGAATGTGATTATGCATGTGCACTGCCATCCTACGATTGCTTAATGACCGTTATAAAATTTTTCATGCTGCCTTACAGTTCGGAATTCTTCTGGCGATTGTTCCGCAGGATCACTTTTTATAGCTCTGTTTAATTGCACTTAAATGTATGATTTCAGGGGAAAAAGGACAATATTCAGCGTTTTGGGGATTCTCGTAAATAGACGTTTTTCAGCTGAACATGTGAATAGATAAATTAGAAGTTATGTTGCCAGGAATCCCAAGCTAACCCGAACAGTTGATATGGGATCCCATATCGATGCTGTTACTGGAATACTGCCACATGCTATGCTAGGCCTTTGAAACTTTCCCCAGCCAATACTTGGGAGTTACAACAA